GCATGAATATCATAAAGAATTCCCTGCTCTTTTGTGGGTTTTAGATCCAGAACACCTGGGCCACATCAAGATCTCTGTTGCTGCTATCACAGTATTGGTACCAATCTTAGCTTGCCATCCTTCATATGTAGGGCTTACCAAAGGAGCTCTGACACACACACTGTGCCAGGGTACACAGCTAATAAATACTCCTAAGAAAAATATTATCTCTTAGCATTCCTGGAGTTTATGCCTGGATTTGGCAGAGGAAGACATCTATGGTACCAGTAAGTGTGTAAACTACAGGAATTAAATGTTCTTAATCTGTTTGGTTGGACTTCATGGTTTAGGTCTAGATTTGACTAGTTTGTAGTCTGTTAAATGAAGACAGTGATCTATTTTTGCCTTTTTGGGATGGGGGAGGTAAGAATTTATTCAATACTAAACACTTTAAAAGGTATGGTTGTATTTTAACAGAAGGGGAGAGATAAAGGAAGATACAAAACATGACCTCTTACCTTGTACTGGAATTAAGTGGGAGGGAGAGAATAAAGGGGTTGCCTAATGATGTGTGGGACGAGCTGCACAAGTTTTTGGTCTCAGTTACATCACTTGATGTGTCTCACACTACCTACTAGTAATCGGATGTGAGCAGGAAATCCTAATGCCTCTTAGCTCATTTTAGATCCATGCCTGCTTTCTTAGGCATGCAAAGAGAAGTTGTGTTGAATCATATGCCTGTTTCTTATCAGTGGAACTATGTGCAAATCTGTAGTGACTCTTTGTAGTTCAAAGCTTTTTTAGTTGTGCTTGTGATCCTTCTTCCTCCATACCTTCCTACCATGTTCCCATTTGTCAAGACAGTTATTTTTGTGGATGCAGAGTCACTTTGAATTCATGTACATGGTCAACCTGTTCAACATACCATAACTGCACATGTATTAGAGAGGACTCATGTTGCAAATTGTGGCAGGATTAAAACTAGATTTCAGAAGGGATCTCTGGAAAAAAATCTTCCACCTAACTACAAAGCAAAATTACACAGATGTGAAAATCATTAAAGCAACCTGTTATGACTCAGAAGTTAAAGGACATAAAAGAAACCTTACAGAAAACTGAAGGAAACAAATAAACCAAAAACAAACCAATTGCTAATTTTATATGTGATCAGGTCTCATTTGAGGGAATCACAGAGCAACTGGGTGGCTGCTCTGCATAGTTTATCATTAGTTCCTTGGCAGAAGTAGGTATGTCTATCCTGTGCCTTAGTCATTTCTTTGACTATGAGCTATGAGCTATGACTTTGACTATGAGCTATGACAAGAGAGACCTTGGTGCAGCTCACTGGACTTTTTGCTCCAAATCAAAGCTGCTCCTTTCTGAAGCAGAACCACATTTCTATAGCCAAACAAGTCTCTCCAGACACATAACTTTCTGCTGAAATTCCAGCTACTGATTCATCCCTACCCAGTTCACTCTTTTCCGTCAGAACACTGAATTGTATTTCCACAATGTTATAATTAGGAGGAAAAAGGGTCTTCCTGTGCATCACTTGGAGTTCACTCAGAGTTCCTCAGGCTGATAATATTAAATTAGGTCAATTTCACATCTCCAATCCAATCAATTTTTTTTTTTTACAAAAAAAAAACATTCCAATTTTATTATTATTAGTAGTAGTAATACTAATTTTATTGTTATTAGTAGTAATATTAATAATAATTTTATATTATTATTATTTATTTACTTATTATTTATTTAATTTCTGGAGATTGTGAGTCCACTTGAATAACCCTTGTACAAGCTCTAAAAATATTATTTAAAACATGTCTCTGGATGCAAGTACAACAACCTCATGGAACTTGGAAATTTATAGTGGAGCTGAAGATGTGGCCTCTGATACAGGAAGTAAAAGCTAGCTAGAACGATTTTAGGAAGAAAAGTTAAGTCTACAACAATGCAGTAGTCTGATACCAATATGCTTTTAGGTATCTTTGAGCTTTTAAATTATATAAATCCTCTTTTAAACTCCTAGTCTCTGTGGGGCCTGAAATGAGTAAAGATCGAAAGATCGCTTAAGCCATTTTAATCTTTTTTTTTTTTTTTTTCCTTTTTTTAATCTATCTTCAAAATCACAATCTCAAGGAAAATTTCAATATTAATGTGACTACTAGTCACATAATTAACGATTATGGCTTACTGCATATAAATTTTACACGGAATTTGTCTTTCCCCACTCTTCTTCATACATTCCCAGACCATCTGAAGGGAAGTTCATATGTCCTACCGCAATTAATATATATAAATACTGTGCAAGAAAATTATTTTTAACATATGTGCTAATCTGCTTATTTTCTCTACAGTTTGGAATGAGAACTGCTGACTGCTTGTAAATTCAAAACATGTGTATGCTCTCATAGGCTGAAGTGCCAAGCTATGAAATGCCAAGCATAGCCTGGCAAAGATGCACAAGCATGTAGGCAAAGATGCACGTTAAGGACATACCAGCTAAGTCCTGTACACAGAGTTCAATAAGCAACCCTCTTCAGGAAGAGTGTTAGATCGTTTGGCCTATTAAATAACAGATTAATATCTCTGATGGAATCTGAGCCAGTATATGCTTTCACAGCCACAGGAATCAGAAATAACTGTATCAAAGCCAATACATGCTTCATCTTTTTTAGATTAAAATGGATTTGCATGCCCAACTTTCAAACTATTGATGTAAATGAAAAATTTATTTAAATGAAATTAAATGAAAATGAAAAGTTCTGTTGTTCATGCAGTTGGATAAGTTGAATGAGTATCCTTTCAACTGCACCAGAAAAGAAAACCTTCAGAAAATGCTTCTATTACATTTGAACTCAATATGCAATTAATAGAACAAAACTTCATTAAATGAACTGAAACATTTCCTAGAATTACCTAACATATTCATATATTATAGTAATTTACTTTGATTTTAAGAATTTTGATTCTCTTTGTATGACTAAGGTAGGAGTAGCCTTTTTTGTGACATTTTTTCATAGGTCTCTTGAATTCCAGCTTTGCATTTTCAAGGCTTTTATTAATACAGGTACCTGCCAGTTTTTCTGCATTCTACCAACTTGGAACCAAAAGAAATAAAAAATATACTACTACTACTACTACTACTACTACTACTACTACTACTACTACTACTATTTTGTTCTCTGTGGCCTAGATTTATTCTTTCTCACTCTGCACCCCCTGAAAAATAGCAGAAGTGGTGCAGGTTGTATTTCTTAAGTTACAGTGAGGCTTCAAACATTGTGAGCCTGTGAAATGTGTTATCGTTTCCTTTCCGAAGCATGAGATAGCGGCTCCTGCCCTGAACTACACTATGCTGGATATAGAAGAGTCACCTATTTCCCTGCTCCATCACATACTCTTACTACCATGCTGGGAAATTCAGTGTTTGTGATAAGTAAATGGTTGATGTTATGGTCTTTCAGGTCATTCCTGAGCAGATTCCGAACTGTAATTCCAAACCACTCTAGGATCTGAAGCTACCATTCCTAGACTTGAGGTGTCATACAATGCCTCTGTATGAACTGTGATTCTACAGTTGTCTTACAGAGATAAAGAGGAACCTTAACCAGAGAGTTCTGAGGTGGATTTCTGAGTCATTTTTATTTTGTTCTTGCTTTTCTTTGATAAGGGCCTTTTACACTCTTTAGACTGATGCAATGAGGAAGGGACTCTTATGGAACCATCTTGTCTGGTTCTATGTCTGTTATGAATTTCTTCAACCTGTATGAAACTCTACAACCCACTTAGGCACTAGTCATACCTTGACAGTCTGTGCCCATAACAGCAGCAGAAGTGCCTCCAGAAGGGGCAGAGGCTGGGGACAAATATATCCCATGTTTCCTGTTACTGAGAAAGAAAAGAATTAAGCTGAAGAGGAGGTAGCAGTTATAATGAGACCAAACAGTGTGGAATGTAGGAAGAGAAGCAGTCTTTCCAAGGTGGGCCCTTGGAAAGGAAGCACTTTCCTTGAGCAAAGATGCTTTAGCATCAAATTTGCTGGCTATGACAGCATTCCTGTTCTTGATGAACAATCTCATTAGTAATAGCTAAAATACATATTAGTCTGTCAGGGGCATAGAGAAGATTCAAAAGCCCGATGAGATGATAGATACGTGAGGGAAAGACTCATGAGGCAGACAAGTTTTTGGCTCCTAAACTTAGCTATTCAAATAATTTGCATGAAGTATAACTGAGAGCCTTAAATGGTTTCTTAAAACAGTGGTTTCTTATGTTGTAATGGAATGCAAAACTCCCTTAAAGACTTAGAAAATCATAAGATAACTGAATTAAATATTATTTTCTACTTTGTAAATTCACAAAACAATTTAACATAATTCCTAAGGGTTTTTATGGCAAGACTTTAACCCTACTCTAGACAGCCTGGGTAGAATAATAAAGGAACTTATTTTACAACTAAAAATACAACTTTGAATATTCCTTATTGACTGTGTCTTTAAAACATGCTGTCCATTCAACACGTGCACCAGTGGTAGGAAAGATTCTATTGACACCTGTCTGGGCATGTGGGTATACATCACCAGATGTTGCCAGTCATCAACAATGCCTGCATCTCAAACTGATTCTGAAGTTGTGGGCTTTACAGTGCTGTCATAAACTCACTGCATAACATTTAAGTGTTTTTATAGGAATGTCTTGTATGTACATTATGCTCTGTTTGTTCTGTTACAGAAAGCATCTTCAATTTTTTGTGACTATATGAGCCAGTAGATCCCACAATAGAGTTTGGAGTTGGTTAAAGTTTCTGTCTGAACATTTATCAGACCCCAAACTTCGTTGTGGGTGTTGAGAACAGCCAGAATGTCCTGACCTTGGTAATACTTCTGTTCAAACTACCTTACTTCCTTTCTGAGGTTGTTTCATCCCTTTAGGAACCTGTTAATGTGTTATGCAAAACCGCAAGCATGGTGGTTCAGCCTTACAGGTGTTTCTAAAGAGAAAAAAAATATTTAAAATTACTGTTTTGGACTTCATTTTATTTGTCATCTTTTATGAACAAATTACGAAATATACTTCATTCACAAATTGGAAATATTTACAATTTCTTTACAACAAGGCATTGTTGAGGTTTTGATTTATGGCGTTCTTAGAGCATTCTGTCTTTCAAAACAAAGACATTGGTGTTGTTTTCAGCACACTGTTCATTTACACTCTGCATGTGAAATGGGAGCATTTTGGAGGAATAATTTGCACTGTTTTTTTAATACAATCTACTGGGCAAAATGAGGCTGGATGCATTTGCAATGTGGGGAGGAGGGCTGTGCATATGCATTGCTGGTACCATGCCACGTGATCTGAAACCATCATGTTACATCAGATGCTGCTAACTGGGGAGGACAAGAAGATTGCCCTGAGCCATCCTTCCTCTGCCCTCTTCCATCTCTTCAGGAATCCTGTGACTGGGCTAAATGTGGTCCAGTTGTCCAGTTGAATTATTTCATTATTTTTTTCTGTTTTTTGAGTCTTCATGAGAAAAGTCTTGAGAAGTCCATCAAAAAAACAAACAAACAAACAAAACAAAAAACAAAAACAAAAACAAAAACAAGAGTAGCCAGAAAGTGAATAAATATTGTATATCCGCAAAATGTTTAGAAGACAAATTTTGAATGTTTCTAAAAGGGAAATGCAACTGTGCTGTTCTGCAGTTGTGACTGGAGTCATAAAAGCTAAGATACTTCCATTTTCTCAATTTCTTGGAGTAAATTTTCTTTTTCCTGAAGAAAATTCTAAAACCACTTCATTCCATGGAACTTTAAAAAACCCTTTAATATACACTTCCATTATAAATCAGATGTGGGCCTCCATTGCTTAGGTTGTCTGTCATTTCCTGCAACAAGAATAGAAAACATTGATTAAAACTAAAATTAATTTATGATGTTTGAAATTTAGTTAGCTAAGGTTGTAATACCTAACAAACTCTGAATGTTTTGCATTCAGAAAAACTTTACATTTTTTATTTGGCTTCATAAATGTCACTGTAAAAGAAAGTAATCACATTTCTTCCTACATAAATTAAGTACATTTGAAGGCTGCTAGACTCATTGACACTGATTGAGTCGGACATTACTCTCAGACCACATACACAGCATTGATGGCATCCGTGCAAGTTTTGTGATGTTGTCCTTTAAAATGCCTCAACTTAAACTTGTGTAGTAATCTACAAAGGAAAAAGATGGTAATTAAGTCTTCATTTCTGTTCAAACCTTTTTCCCATGCTGACATATTACAAACAGATGCCATTTGATGCTGGCTGGGACAGACATTTAGGCATGAAGGTCTAGATCCAAATAGGATCTAAGGGTTTTGACGCCTGAGTGGAGGCTGCTTGCCTTGGGATGGGACTGATTTTGGTTTTCCCTTAATATACCAGACTACAGTTTTAGCAGTTCAGCAGTTGCTGCTCAAGTGGCAGATGAGTCATCCCAAAGTAAGCTGACCTGCTCATGAGTCAGAATCCTAAGGCACCTAAAACAAGATTTGTTTGGAGTTAGATTTTCTAAATCTCAGATTGCAGTCCAAACAATGCCTACTTAGCAGCTGTGTAAGCCTGCAGATGACTACATTCATTAAGCACTTGTCTGACCTTCAAGGCTGCAAAGCCATGTGGAGTTTATGCTCAGAACTGCCTAATTTTAAGCAGTCCTAAGCTTTTTTTCTTTTTTTCTTTTTTTTTTTTTTTCCCCTCACCAAATTGAATCAGGATGCAAACATAAAGTGATCTGCTGCTTATGTCCAATGACAGATCCCAGAGAACATCCAACTATGCCAAGAGGAATAGTCATGAATAAAAATGCAGTTTTGGCTATTCTTTTTAGAATTCAGGTAGATGAGGTAGAGTTGCCACTGTTATGCTAATTCTAAAATTTTTGCTTGAGAACCAATAGCTCTTTTCTGCATGGGAAGATTAAAATTAACCTCTTCTACCTCATAGGTACAGTTGGAGGAAATGTTGAAGAAAAGGGATGTGGTTTTCACCATTCTTGTGGAGGTTTCTATGAAGAAAGTAAAGCAAGATTCACTGGGTTAAAAAGACAGGAAAGGACAGAAAGAAAAACTCTAACTCTATAGCATCAAGGCTGAGATACTTTGTAAAGAGAAGGAAATTATAGGGCCTGGCCTTTATTTCCAGTTTTCCCCTTTCTCACTTCTCCCCTTATTTCCTCCATAATATTTCATTTATAAATAACTAGGGATACAGAGACCAAAACTCAGTTTCATATTAAGTGGAAGCGCTGGTGCCTCCTCTCTCAGGTTTTACCACCTACATTTTAAAATAGATCACAGGACTTAATTGTTCCCTGCACTTTTTTCTGAAAGAAGGGACGTGCTATTCTTCTCTACAAAGTAAGCTTAGGGCCATCAAACCAAATAGACTTGCCAATCAATAATCTGTAATCAAGCACAAGCTTCAAAGAAAAGAAGGCATGTAAACTTTCTGAGCATTTTCTATCACCCAACTCTTCATTTGGCAGGTGATGGTGCTGGATGCTTTCACATGGTGTCTTATTCTTCTTATGAACTGAAGAGGAAACTGATGCATGCCTAACACTGAACTTGGGATTCCTGTCTGGAGACTGCCTGCTCTGAAACAAGGCACTGCAGCTGTCAGTTTGTAAGTGTCTAAATGCTTTGTGGGTTCTAAGCTGAAGGTATTGGTCAGCTGGGAAAGGGAACAAGAATACCAAACCATGTAATATTAACTCTCAATTAGCCACAAGTAAAAGGTACTACTCTGTTGGAAGGCAAGCCACGAGTGAGTGACAAAGTGTATGATTCCTTTTGTCACTTTTATCACTTGAATCCTCCGCAGACATTAACTGTTAGAATACCACCTTAATATCAGAAAATATTGAAAATAATTTATTTTCCCCAATATTTATATCCTCAAAAATAAAAGTATTAATAAATTAAAAAAAAAAAATGTTTCTGAATTCAAGAAATGAAGGAGCACACGGGTTAGAAGCAGAGTGAGTTAATGGTGGCAACATCCAAACCGGAGAATTTGGATGTCTGTAACTAGGGTGAATATTTTAAATACTCAACTTACTTCCAAATTGCAGCATTCACCACGTAGAATTATGTCACCACCTGGAAGCACTGTTCCTGACTCAGAGAGATGTCACAGCATCAGCCAACTTTGATTAGCTGAAGCTATGACTTCCTCTTAGAGGTGGCACTTCCTGAAGTGACATAACAACATGGTAGCTCCCTAGTGTTCAGCGTACCTTGGAGGTAACTCTGGTGTCGGGGGAACCACCGGGCAGCTGGGCAGGTCGGTTATTTCAATACCCCTCAATCTCTAATATAAATATAACAATTATACAATAAATATAGCACAAATAAATGCACATGCAGTACATGTCTATATTACTGTACACCAGTATAAATATACGAAAAATTCTTATATATAAAACACTTTACAACTATTTTTATAAATTAGGGCCTAATTTGACATAACTTTTTACGATGTTAAGTTGCCTTCGTTATTTTTTAAGGGCATGCCTTGAGCATGCACTCAGACCCGCCAGCAGCAGGCGGTCCCACACAGGCTGTAGGCCTGAGAAGTCCCAGATCAGGTCATCTATGCATGCATACTTAATCCTACAAGACACGTGCAGTGAGTCCACCAGTGGTGCTCATCCCGCATTCACCCAAGATAGATGGGCATTTGGCAGTCCTCACAGCTAAGTGTGCAAAACCTCAACAGGCAAAGAAATGGGGCAGTGATCTACTGCTGTGTATGGTCATCTCCTGCCCAAAGTGACAGGGCAGGGCTTACATTTTGAAGCATTTTTCTTGCCAAGCCATTTCTTTTGTCTGTACCTTTTTCTCTCAGATGGGCTTCATCTTGTTGAGGCAAGAGCCTCTTCGAAAGGCAGGATCTAGCCTACCATCTGCAAGACGTATGTAGCTCATCAGAATTATACTTCATTTTAAAATGAGAGGGAGAAATTTATTTTTTCACTAGATTTTAGGTTGCTGTTGTAACCTATACTAAATAAGTTTTTTAAATGTGTTTAAAACATTTTCTAAAGTGAATTCATTATATATTTCTAATTGTCTCGTTTCATTTAAAAAAATAAAACAGAATAGTGACAAGTAATTTTTACATAATGGACAATTAGTTGCTCTATTGTGTTTTATTGGAGAATCTTAAAACATGCTACACTCTGAATAAATTTATCCTTTGCTTTTCAGAGGTCTCAGTAATTAAACTTAACTGTAATGTAAACTGGCACATGGCAGTTTAGGTGGGCAGTCTGCATGACTTTTATTCATTTCTCTAGTCATTGCTCAAACGAAAAACACTGGATACTAAACCAAGACGTAAAGAATGGGGTGTCAGTAAATATCTTACTCCTTGAAAATTAATCACATCCCTAACTCTGAAGAAGCTGATTTCAATAATTTTATTTATTTATTTATTTATTGTCCCTGTGTGCTTAACTTTGAGATCTTAAATTTCAACACCTAAGCATGGACTGAGACACCATGGTAAACTTCATTTTAACAGAGAAAGGAAATAAATGCTCAGTGCTGCTGCAGATCAGACCGGTTTCATTTACATGTCTAAATATGCCTTAGGTGCTTAGGTTTAGTCTTCTAGGTTTTTTAGCTGCGGATTTTGTGTTTAAATAACCTACTTTATAAGCTGAGTACTTGTGAGAGGAAGAAATTGATTAAATCCTGGAAGCATGCAATGATGTTACAGAAAGCATTCTGTGCTTTTTCACAGTACAATACATGATAATCCATATTAATAAGGCTTCCAATTATTTATGAAGTGCTATATTTAGCAACTAAACCCCTTGATAGCTATACAATGGAATTATGTTGAAAATGGATGTACTTCATTGAAATGGATGTACTGCAAATATACAGTACCTAAAAATAGCCTCATATAACGCAATACAATAAAGCTCACACAGAATGGCAGTTTCATTTCCCAGAAGCTCTTTCTCATATATAACTAAAAATTGAATACACCCGTTGCCAGTTGTATACATTAAGACATACAGTAGCTTTTTTTAAGGGAAGCAGAACAAATAAGAAAGACACACAACTCACTTTTTCTGCCATTTCATGGGAGTGATGCAATGAATGTTCTCTTTCTGAGAACATACGCCTTTGTTCATAGCTGGCTAGCCGACAAGTGAGCCATGAAGAAAGGGTGCAACCACCAATTCCAATGCATGCAAGAGACATGGAGGCAAGATGCAAAGAATAGAGAGCAGATGACTTCTTTGTCAGAGCACGAAGAAATTGAAAATTTAAAATTCCTCCGATAAGTCCACAGATGCAACAGGCAGAAAAAAGGATCATCTGTCAGGAAAGACAAGAGAGGTTATGTCACAGTAACGTTTCTCAGAGACAGATTCATTCATATAAAAAATTTGACTAACCATAACTCAGTACTTTGATAGCATCACAGATTGCAAAGAACTTCACTGACATTCATTTTTTAACTCCCACTGGTCCCACGGGACTCTGAGGGAATACAATACCCTCTGGTGTCCAAGAGTTAAGATTGATGTTGCATGTAAGATAAAGTTACGTAGAATTAGTTGCCTGTGTTAAAAACTAGACAATGTAAGGACTAATAGGACACAAATCTTCTGATTTCCAACGTTTAATTAAAAACATGACAATGTGTCATAATTTTCTATTGGGCGGTTTCTCACTAATTCTCAGGAGTGAATGCCTCATGTATTTGCAGTGAGTTTCTCTTGCTTTATGTAACAACCAACTGTGCCTCTTGTTCAGTTCTAGTTTGTTCAGTCTGATAGCAAATTGGAGACTTCCTACAGCTTTTGTGGGTCTTCAAACATGCTGAAGGTGAGTGTGCTGGACAAAGAAGCAACAGAATCAACCACAAATCTATGCAGCTTTACAGAAGGTCAGTGTGGACTAAATTTTTTTGCTTTATTATTATTATTATTAATAATAATAATGTGGTTAAAATGTTTCTGGAAACTTTAGAAGGAAGTGAAACAGGCTGCAATTAATGAGACATGTTTAAAGACCTCATCGCTTTAATCACAAAGATGCCATCTCTGGTTCAGGATGTCCTTGAGCCACAAATCACATGAGGCTGAAAGACCTTATTGCTAAATGATTGCCTTCTTCACTTCCCTAGATGCTGCTGGTCTGACAGACATTTGTCTAGATGGACCTTTGATGTGACTCAGTATGGTTTTGTATATATGCTTCTGTTGTGGAAACAATTTATGGAGCCTCACAGACTGCTTCTGTACACAGCTGAGATGAGAATTTTGTCAGTGAAGTGGCATTCACTCTGCAGTCCACTAGCAAGTCACTGTTACATGAGACCAGCAGAACAGACAGCTTTTAGAAACTGAGTATGGTCTATATCCTTTAAGAAATGAGGCCGCAATTGTAACAGGGTTTAGGGTAATTCATTGATATTTGAAAATAATAAGAGAGAGATGTTGATTCCCTTCACACTTACAGTTATTTTACATGGCTTACATTTGTGCATGGCACGATAACCAAGCTGACTGAGGATTAAAGCCAGACATTATAACTTACAATAAGATCAAGTCTTTAACATAAAGACAAAATTCTGCAGTGATTTGTGTTGCAATCACACCATTTTGCTGCAGTCAGAAAAATGACTATACTTCTTACTCTTAGAAGAAACAGAAGATATCCATCATCATTTTAAAACTTTTTCATTATTCTGATTGTGAAAAGAACCATGAACAGTGAACAATATCTAAAATCAAACTTGTTCAGCAACCTCATTGAGTTGGTAGCCCAGTCATGCCACACTTTACAGAAATGGTTTCCTGAAGGAAAGAAGATACAATCCACTGCTGAGGATCTCTTTCTTGACTTGTCATTGATTTATGTGAAGAGGTTTTCCATCCAGACAGGGATAAATTTGGATATATGGCTTAAATTGGCATGACCTAAATAGGGCATTTCAGAAATGCTTTGTGTTGCCTGATGAACCCAAAGTGCTGATTGTTTTCTTTGGACTGCTGGCTTGCAATATTTAGTGATTTTTTAGCAGAAACACTTGGACACAGTTTGTGCTAAGTAAAGTGTTCAACTTAGATAAGTATGCCTTTCAAATACTTGTGTGTTATAAGTGTATTGGAAAAACTTACAACAAGTCCAGATTTTTTTTTGGCGCACAATATTCCACATATGCCACAAAGCAGAAACTGAAAAGGAAAAACAAACAAACAATTATTTCATCATTAAGGTCTCAAGTTTAAATCCTGCTGTGTTGCTTTAGTGGTGACCACAACAGTAAGCTAGGCAATGGTTATAGTTGTTGTCAGCATTTTTATTACAAACCTTATGACTCAGGAAGTTATACCTCAGCCATAAACTTATACAAGAAGAAACTAGATTGGGAAGGCAGACTGAGGATGATTAGTCATAAAAATAGAAAAAAGTAGAGAAAGAAAGCAGGCCTACTTTTAAACTGCTTGAATAAACAAAATATGAAAAAAAAAAAAAAACATAATTGTGCCAGATAAAGATGTCTTTATACTTTTTTTTTTTTTATAAATAATTTATTTTATTAGAAAATAAGTTTAGTAAGGTAGTAATCAGTGATCCAAATCCTACTTCATCTACTTTCAATCCTACCTAATGCCCTAATCCTTCAGTGTGAACCACTGAGGGATTGTGTATGGACTGTTGTCCTCAAAACAGTGGACCTCAAGGCAAGAATGCAGGTCAGTCAGCTCTGTGGGTGCAAATGTAAATACCAAGTACATCTGTTGATGTGGCTACAGTGAACATGCAGGAAAAAACTGTTGCAGAGTCTGGATAGCACACTCTGCAAGAGATCGTGTGAAAGGATCTGTCCTTTTTCATGTAGTTCCCTTTCACAAACTGATCTGTCAGTCGTGACATCAAGTATTAGGCAAGAAGTGATTAAAACACAAAACAAAAGAAAACATACAACCCCATACCAGCTCTTATGAATAAAACTTAATGTGTTGTAGTGACCTGTGTCAAAGACAAAGATGTTCTCTGATGTCTCTATTTCCTCATACAAGTTCAATGAGGGAAACAGGGAACAGCCCCTGAGAGAGCAATCGCGGTAGGAACTACACGAATTGTATAAAAGCAATAAGGCCTTCTCCAGGTGTCTGCAATACTGTCAAAAGGTTCCTTCAATACCTCATAAACTCCATTGTTAAGAAAACTATGCTACTTATTTTCAGTAAAGCTGAAAACCAAACACCCCTACTGGAAAGTAATTTTGTAGTTTTAAGACTGGATTTTTCCACATCCTTTTTGCACTGAGGTAGGTGTTTCTAGTAAAAAGCTTTAGCTGTCCTTGATTTAGGATTAAGTCACAGAACAGGCTTGGCTATTACATAAGAGAAAAAAAAATTAAGCAGTTTCTCAGTATTGTTCAGGGTCCCTATGATATATTACATATGTACATAATTTGCTTACCAGAATGTTGCAACTTCAGTATCCCAGTTGAAGAGCTGCTTTACTACACAGTTTATCTCCCTTTAGCCAAAGTTGTTTGTGCATGTAGCTAGGCATAAGCCTCGAGATGTATTTTTACTCTGAGTTAGGCCATTGAATCAGTTCCCCACAGTTAATATATTTTCATTTTATACATTATTTACCTCTATACTAAGCATGGGATGTGAATTTAATACCAATCTAATCATGTAAATGGCTGGGTCATGGCACTGAATAGCTCAGGACATGTACTGCACAGCTGGTAATTGCTACTAGAGCTCACCAGTTGGAATAATAATAATAAAATCAAATGAACATGAAGGGCTCCCTCTGCCCCTTTCCCATAGGTAGGGAAGATTTCAACTAATAACTATCACACCTGCTTTGTATGTTATTACTCAAGCTTTCTGTGAAGTTTTAATATTTCACTCCCAATTCTGTCCTTGCTTCAACTCAAGCCATGCTTCAGGTTTTGATACGTAGTGCTTTCCATTTTTCAACATTCATGCAGAAAGCTCGAAAAATTATTTATTTGGAACATCACTGTAATTAAGTTTTATTCAGTCAGTCTTGATAAAGCAGACTAATAATATCATTTCTCTCTGTAGTGATTGAATAGGATTAAAAGGAAAAAAATGTATAAAGAAAATCTTATAAGGAAAAAAATGTATAAAGAAAATCTTATGAGTTTTAGGAAGTTTATGTAAAGGATCTGGAAGATACCATCAAAAGCAGTTTCAACTTATAACAAGTGTACCTTAACTAGATTAAAAATAAAATGTTGTACATTTCCAAAGATGTGTTTCTGATAATTTCCCTTCCAAACTAAAAGAATACGTCACTCATTTTTTTATTTTTTATTTTTAAAAAGAGTTGCCTGTTAAAATAAATTGATTTTTTATCATTAATTTCAATTGGAGAAGACTTTCTGTTTCCATTGTATTCTATCCAGAAGGTAAAAATAGGACAGTCTGTGATGAACATGCTATATTAGTCTTGCACATGACCAAAGGAGAAACAAGGAAATTACAGGTTCCCTTAGCATTAGAACCCACCCATTTGGGCAGTTTTACCATTCTTTATTGTTTTTCAAGGATGGGACATACAATCTTCCAAATCACCATTATACGGTGCCAGATGCTTATGTTACCAAGGATACTTTCCTGTTGAAATCCAAAGAATAGTGAATAAGCTGATCTGCAAGACCTAAGATACTGGCTTCCATAAAGTAAGGAGTGACCCTGTTATTCCATAGACATTAAAGTATCAGAAGGGATTACCTGGAGTAATATTTTATTGCATCAGGGTCTGTATTTTCTATACATCTCTGCATATCTACTCTCTCTCTCTCTCTCTCTCTCCACACACAGGAAATAAGGTGCCCTGTAGTTAAAGAACTCAACAGAGACATCAGACAAATTGAATTTTCCTAGTTTTTACACATTCTTCTCTGTGAGCTTCCAAAGGTTATGCCAAATTTTTATAATTCATATGACTACAAGACAAGAAAGTTATAAAACTGGATGCACTACTGTTCATGAAGGTACTAAAAATCTTGGAATCAAAACATTTTGGCAGTAGCAAAGGGTCAGTATTATTATTATTATTTTTTTTTTTTTTGAGATAACAGTGTGTCACACTCACACAGTAAAGGCTTGCCCAAAAAACTGTATGGTTATTTATTTATGACAGCAGGCATTTTGCTATTAAAACCAATGGATGAATTTGAACCAGTGTCAGGAAATTAAACCTCATGCCATGCTTTGAAAATGCTTCTCTCTCTCTTCTAAGGCTGTAGAAGATTCTGATCCACTGGAAACAATGGAAACCTGCTTTACGAAGAGAATATTCGCATTACCTGGGGCATGAAGACGCTGCTCATGCAGAGTTGCCTTACCCAGGCTTCTCAATATACAGAGCTCTAGAAAGGCTGGGAAGTCATGGTACATTGGGGAGTTTTAGGTTGGATGTTAGGAAGAACTTCTTTACCGAAAGGGTTTTTAGACATTGGAACAGGCTGCCCAGGGAAGTGGTGGAGTCACCATCCCTGGAAGTCTTTAAAAGATGTTTAGATGTAGAGCTTAGGGATATGGTTTAGTGGGGACTGTTAGTGTTAGGTCAGAGGTTGGACTCGATGATCTTGAGGTCTCTTCCAACCTAGAAATTCTGTGATTCTGTGATTCTGTGATCATTGACTCTGATCATATGACTCTGATCATTGCTTTTTGATAGATCAGCCAGTGGCTCAGGATATTAATGAATTTTAATTAATGAATATTAAAATTAATGAATATTTATTTATTTATTGGTAGTGCTATAGTAATTTTCTATAACATTTCTGGGGTTCTGAAGTTATGGTCAACAGTAGTGAAAAGTAGATGGGAGAAGCTACACTCACTTTTTGTACCAATAAAAGGTTGTGAGTATGCATCAGACTGAAAAGGAATTTCCTGTGTTCTGGTTTATTTTTTAATTTTGAGTTCTTCTCTTTTATAATACTGCCAACTGGAATACAGCCATCAGGGGCTCTGCTGTCTTGCCACTCCCTGTCTATTTTTGGCTAGTTTGAAAGACTTTGTCATGCTAATATACCATTACTATTTAAACTTGACTTTTAACAGTTGAGATACTTTTGGCTGCATTATACCCATGACTAATACTGCCATGCTGAGGTTCACTCCTTTTTGGATAATCATTGGTTATACTCCACTGATTTTTACTAATCTCTTGGACTCTTTAAATATAGTAAAATTTTCTATGTCAAACTTGAAGTAAATTAAGGCAAACACTCTTACATTAAATACAGTAAATCAAGAGTGGAAAAGAAATATACCATTGAAGACTGAAGATCAAATGTTCAAGTGTTCAAAACTTATGCTGAGAATAAGGCTAGAACTATTTCATGAAGGATAAGCTAAATGAATAAGCCCTCCAAAATGTACTAGGAGTTAGAGAGGGACTTGTTGAAGCTATGTCTCACTGTTAGATATTTTTTTTCTTTTGTGATTATGATTCATCAGAAAATTCTTAAGAAGCTAAAAGATCAACATCTCACTTAAAAACAAAACAAAACAAACAAACAAACAAAACACAAACAACTACATATATCACTATTTGCAAGTAATTCCTTTTTTTTTTTTCTGGGGTAACTTTTGGTTGCAGATGTAGTCATACCTCCTATGATACATGCTCTTTCATGTCAAGACTATCACAGAGAGGCAGGAACTGAATATATCACCTGATAATAGGAACAGAACCTCTCTTGGATGATGGGTTAAAAAATAATAATTAAAAAAATGTTACAAAGCACAAAAGCCTCTTAGACTGCTTTTGAAACTCAGTGGACTGTGAGTGTCTCTGTCCCCCTTCCAGGAAGATTTTCCAGGAACCTAGCAGAGTCAAAGTCCTCCTGTTAGTGTGAGTGTGATTGCAAAGTGATGCATTAGTGTCTATTTGCCTGTGGACCCTTTGCCATTCACACTGTGTCTGTGCCTGCCTTTGTTCAATATATGCACATTTGGCCTATTGAACTTTGGAATAAAGAATCAAAGACCTCCCAGAAAAAGAGAATGTTTATTTTGAGCCTGCTTTAATTTTTTATATTAAGTACGGTCTTGAAACGAAACCTCAGATCCAAACACCCAGAAATTTTGGTAAGGAGGCTGAAATCTCAATTTAGAGTCAAGTTTTGTGGTTTGGATCAATCCCTATTTCATATTTGCTGAAA